TCAACTCTTAATTGGCAAGAGGTAAATACGGGAGGTCAGAGGCCAGAATGTCCATCAACTCTGCACCTTCACATACACCCATGCACAGGCCATGTCTAAAACCCTGAAAATTTGGGGGAAATGTTTTATCCTGTCATTAGGAAGGGAATAAAATGAAATGCCACTGGAGATACAACATGTTGAGTTTAAATTCACATTAAAATGATATGACTAATACCAAGTTATTTCCTGAGAGTGCGTTTTCATTAGATATAGGATGGATGGCCTCCCTACCCCTTTCTAGACTTGTAGGTCCTTAAACATGGGGGCTCCATTTGGAAGCTGATGGTTTCCAAGACAAGGGAAGCATGATCTGACTGTATAAAGCCCCAAAGGGTGTTGGGATGGGAAAAGTGCAATCAGCAATATTAGACATCTTAGACAAGCAAGGAATACAGAAAAAGAAGTGGAATTCATTCCAAGTTAATTCATAAATGTGGGAAATTAAAATGTACTTTTGAACTGCTGGATTGTCAAAGCAAGAACAATAAGAGAAGAGATCTCAGAAAGCAATCAAGGCACAGAGGTCAGAGAGGACCTGCATACTCAGACTATCAATGAGTAGCACAAACTTCAGGACCTAAATTTTGTGATTCTTCTTCTTCCACATATCCCATATTCATTAAAATAAATAAGGTTCTGCACACATCCTACTTATACACAAGCAAAGTGCAAGGAATATTAGTGGAGCAGAATCATTGAGCTGATTATAAGTGTCCCTGTATATTTTTTTATTTCCAGAGAGGGAGTTCCTTTCAAGCCATCCATTTTAGATTCTCAGAGCAGCTGCCCATTCTTTCCTTTTCTCATCCCACATCTCCAGCTGTCAAACTATCACCCATACTTCAAAACCAGCTTAAATTCCATCCCTTCCATGTGAGGTATGCTGTGCACACCTGTAATCTCAGCACTCCAAAGGTTGAGACAGAAGGATTGCAAGTGGGAAGCCAGCCTGGTCAATATAGCAAGATACTGTCTCAAAAGAAAAGTCCACCCCTTCCCTAAATTTTTTCTTAATCTCTTTTTTCAATATCCTCCAAATATAAATTATCTTTCTTTTTATGAATGTGCAGGGCACATTTCTAACCTCTCTCATGAAGCTTATGACACAATTCTTTGTATTACAACTATTTGTTAATGTTTATATTTCTCTCCTTTTAGTCCTTGAGTTACAAGAAACTTTTAGCAACTTGGATTCTCTCTGTGGTCCCTTAAATATACTAGATGACCAATAAAATTTGTTGAATTGATACAGGAGGTAACTATCTTTCTGCAGTAAGTTTAGCCTGCTTCTTAGGTAGATATGGGAGGTGACTATAACCTATGTCTTCAATGCCCCTCCACCTCCTCCCTTTCCCTGTGGGAAGAAAATATAGCCAGCCACTCCAAATCAGGCCCTTTATTTAGGACAGAGGTGGAATCTCTTGCTGTAGTGAAAGTGCCATCGGGACACTGAGCAAGGGTCTAAAGTCTAGTGTACCAATCATGCATCCCTGGAGAATACTCCTCAGGAATCCAGTGATGTCACTACAGGGTCCAGGGTTCAGAGACAAATCAGCTTCATGGGGTATAAAGAAGCAAACTGAGGTAGCATTAGGGAAGAGGAATTCCAGGGGCACAGGGAGGGCAGGAGCGTCAGGATAGCAAGCACTCACAATGTCTCACAGCGCCACTGTTCCAGCTTCTCCGAGCAGAGTGCTTTATGGGCCAACCTGATGATGAGAAAGGGACAAGGTGAGTTGACTGGCTGAATCTTAGCTTCATCCTCAGGAGGGCCTATGTGGATATAAATTACAGAAAGGCTTCCCTAGACAGATGGCAAGGGCTTCTATATCACCTAGTGGAGTAAGTTACACTAAAAAAACTCCAAGAAAAGTGTAGGGGTAGAAGAGATATGCAATGATAACAAAGGCTTGTGAGTTTTTTAGTTTTTATGGTTATTTTTCTGTTGATGCTGTTTTTGTTTTTTTGATGGCACTGGGGTTTGAACTTAGGGCCTCATGCTTGCTAGGAAGGCACAATACAGCTTGAGCCACCCTTCCAGCCTTTTTGCTCTGGTTATTTTAGAGATGGGGTCTCATTTTTGCCCAGGCCATGATCCTTCTACTTTACGTCTCCCACCGTTTCTGGGACAACAGGTGCGGGCCACCACGCCCAGCTTTTTTTCCACCATGCCCCAACTTTTTTCCCCAGGCTAACCTGGAACTGAGATCCTCCCAATCTCAGCCTCCTGTGCAGCTTAGATGACAGGTGCATGCCACCATGCCCAGGTATTGGTTGACATGGTGGTCTCAGACCTTTTTCCCAGACTGGCCTCAAACCATGATTCTATTGCTCTCAACCTCCCAAGTAGTTAGAATTATAGGCGTGAGCCACAGGAACCCAGCTCAAAGGCCAACTGTAAGGTATAGGACTTGACCAGGTGAAGGAAGACTGAATATCAGCCTTCCACTAGGGAACTCCTTACTGGAAAGTTGTCACACAGGAGTGGAACAAAGGAGGCTTAAATAATGGAACCCTGAGTCTGGCAGATGAATTTTGTTTTGGAAACTATACCCAAGATTAAATGACCAGGAGATAGAGAGAGAGAAAATGAAGGGGAATAACAAAGAGGTGAGGGAAAGGACGATGGGGGAAAATAGAAAATCTAATGAGAATTCACCAGTAGCCAATTCCTCTGATATCCAGGATCTTCTTGACACACATTATGTCATCAGTGAGGTCATCATCCAGGAACTCTAGCAGAAGTTGCAAGGAAAGGAATGAGAGAGATAAGACATATTACCCAGACAGGTAATAAGTTCCCCTATTCCCTGGGTCTGGTGGGTTTGTTTCTCTGAACTGAAGGCTTATGCCTAGTGTCTTTCTATATGAAAAGCCAATACAGTAACACCCCCTGGGGAGAGACTTCCTTCACTTCCCTGGGACATTTCTGGAAGAATCATCAGCTTTATGTACTGGCACTCTGCATGCACAGTTTCAGACTTTGAGACTCCCGAACAGTTCAGATTGCCTACCCAAGCTTCAGGAGACCATCTGTGCATTTGACGATCAAGAAAATTCCAAAGATTCTTACTTAGCACTTTTGCTTCAAATTGCACAGTTTTTGTGGCAATGAAGCCAGAAATATACTTGATGACAAAAAGGATATTACCCCAGGGAAAGACTGCAGGAAAACAGAGAAACAGAGTGTAAAAGGCTACTCACTGTCACAGGAGATGTCACAAATATTCCTTGACTGAGGGATCTGGCTACTCCCACACCACAATTTATTACTGATCTGGAAGAGTCCATACTCTGTGCTCCCATTATTTTTGACTATGGCTTGTGTGTCATAACCACTGGTATGAAATAAGATACAGGCCCCTGAGGGAAATATAAGAAAGAGGTGTCACAGAGGATCTGCATAAATTATGAACTATAGTTCCCAGACACATACACACAAAAAGGCAGCCAATCTCCCAAGGTGGCAAAGCATAGAGTATCTTGATGTGATCAGATGAGGAGAGTTCCAAAACGGATCAGACAATGGGAGAAAGGAAGGGAAAACCAACTGAATAAAGAGTACATGAACAACAGAGAATATAAGAAAATGGTTAGGTAATTAAATGAAAACAGAAGAAAAAAAAACAGATGAAGGAGAGACAGATGAGAAGTGAATGAAGCAAGGAAGCAGAGAACTCACATTCTGGCAAAGTGATGCCTCCATAGTCATTCAAGTCTTTCAGCACATGAGGCAGCTCACACTTTGTAAGTTGCTCAGCCTGAGTAGCAGGGAACAAGATGCTCACCAGGAACAGGGGGACAAAAGACACCATTATGGCTGCCCCCAAGAATCTGAAATGGGGGCACCACTCAGCTTCACCTCCTTTTATTCATGGAGAACACCTCAGGAGCCTTCATGCCAAGACTGAACCTGCCAGCTTCCTTCCATAATTTCACCCTACTTTTCCTCCTCACCCCAAGTATCTAGTCAATACCAAGTATTGTTCTCTGCCCAAACACAGGTCCATGCGTGATCATGTTTCCCATCTGGCTTTGTTTATACCTTTGTTTCTCATAGGGTTAGTTCTAGGAAGCAAGACGTCTCCACTCTACTTTAGGAACAATGGTGCCCTTTGTCCAAGGACAACCCCAGTAAGGCAAGTAGAATCTACAATAAGAGTTCATAGTCAACTCTCTTCTTCCCCCTAAAGACATGCAGAACGTGGAAATGGAGTGTATGTCATCACATTCCAGGATCAGAGTTTGCATTTGTCTAGCTAACCCAGCCATGGAATAAAGTCCAAGAAGAGTCCCTTGATGTGGTGGTTCATGGCTAAAGACTCAAAAATAGGGATAGAACATGGGGACATAGACTATGAGAATCAAATATAACTTGAATCCCAAGTTGGATCCTACATAGGAAAATAAATTCTTTGAAAAAGAAGTATGAAAGTATCTAGCCATCTTATGGGCTATTCTCAGGCTCTGGACCCCCAACCAGCACCACCATAAATAGCTAAATACTACTTTGGCATGAAGACACTGTATAAATCCAAGACTAGTAGCTCGGAATACATTTGTTCATGGATGAGTAAATTTGTGGATAGCCTCAGAACTGATCACAGGAAAATGGGAAAAGGGTAACCCAAGCCAAAGGGAAGGTTAGGCCTTAAGCACTTTAATATTGGACAAGGATATATCTGAAGTCTATAAAACAAGTTCCTGATTCTGAACTATAAAGTCAGCACCTCTGAGCAGGTAGGGTTGAGGGTGCCAGTTCTGAATAATTCCTTTAATTTACTGTTATCAAGCTTTATATTCATGGTACCAGTAGCTTTTATCCTCCCTCATGCCAGTTCTTTTTTTGTTATTACTATTATTATTATTATTAACATATTATAGTTGTACAGGGGATACATGTGACACTTACATAAGTATCTTAATTAGATTCACTCCCTGCATCTTTCTCCTTTATCCCACTTCCCCCTTCTTACAACAATTTGAACAGGTTTCATTGCTCTATTTTCATGCATAAATACAAAATATTTTCACCATATTAGCCCTCCTTTGCCCTTTCCTTATGCCCTCCCCCTGATATCTACCCTCAGGCAAAACCTGTTTTACCTTCTCTGTCCTTTTAAAAAAAAAAGACATTCTTGTTAGTTTATGATAGTTATACAGGGGGGTTCATTGTGACATTTTCATATGTACATGTATTATACTCCAAACTGGTTCATCCCCTCCATTATTCTCCCTTCTACCATAGTTGTCCTTCTTATCGTAATTTCAACAAGGTTCAATGTTCCAAGTTCATACATGTATAGAAAGTACATCAACCATATTCACCTTCTTTACTGTCTTCATTTACTCTTTCCCTTCCACTAGTTATGCCAGTTCTTATCCTCTTTATCCCAGTTTTTTTGTTTGTTTGTTTGTTTTGATCTTGGGTTTTTTTTTTTTGGCAGTACTGGGCCTTGAACTCAAGGCTTTCCACTTGTGAGGCCGACAGGCAGGCACTCTACCATTAGAGCCACACCTCTGGCCCTTTTTATTCTGGTTATTTTGGAGATAGGCTCTTGCTTTTTGCCCAGGCCAGCATGGACCACAGCTCTAATCCATGTAGCTGGATGACATGAGTGCACCAATGTGCCCAGCTGTTGGTTGAGATGGGATCTTATAAACTTTTTGCCAGGGCTGGCCTCGAACCACTATCCTCACAATCTCAGCCTCCCAAGTAGGTAGAATTACAGCCATGAACCACCATGCTCAGCCTTTATCTTAATTTCTAAACCTGATTTCTTACATGTCAGGAGGCATCCATCCCACTCAAACTATTTAAGACTTACAAACTGAATATTTCCAAATTGTTATTACCTACACATCTTCAGAGTCCAAGAAGCTCTTCTCAGTTTTATACCATCTTCTATACTGTGGATAAGCAGTATATGAAGTAGCATGAATGAAGATAATGTGGAAGATGTAGGAAGCCAAGAGAGATGAGCATAAAATCCCGATAGGAAGGAGACACATGTTCAGAAACACAGCACAAGGTCATCACTACTTTTCTCCTCTACTCTATCCAGAGGCAATGGGAGGGTGTATGACAAGAATAGGAATTCTACCACACTGAGCAAGTTTTGTGCGGAATATAGCCATGGATTAGAGGATGACCTTGAGCCATACAGGAGAGGGACAGATAGAAAAGCTAGTCCTGAGGACTAGTCTTTGCAATAGGGGAGTCTTGCATAAAATAACTCCTGGTCTGGGCTATGAATTAAGTACCTATGATGGAATAAAATGGTAGGCCAGGGTCTTTGGAATCAGGGGGCTTTCTACACTTCTAGTCAAGTCAAAACCTAAGGCAGCAGTCTGCTTGCCTATAATATAATTATATCTCTGCCTTTCTCCATAAGCAATAAAAAGTAGCATACAGGCCAGGAATCCTAGCTAAGTGCAGAAGAGAAAAGTAAATGTGCATCAAGCCAAAAGGAACCACTATTTCCTTAAAAATGTTTGCAAAATAGGATATCTGGGGTCATCTGAAAAAGAGGATAGATAGCTAATGAGAACAATGGCAAACATTCAGAGAAAGGTGGAGGTTAATAGGATATCTGGGGTCATCTGAAAAAGAGGATAGATAGCTAATGAGAACAATGGCAAACATTCAGAGAAAGGTGGAGGTTCTTAGAGATGGTCCAAAGGAGAACAAGAAACAATGACCATGCACTGAAAGAGGAAGTGTATGGAAAGACGTAAGCATAGCAACAGAGGAAAGTTCCTGCCTGTCTAGGTGCTCCTGAGGTCTAAATCAAAGTGGTTCCAATATACTTTCCTGGATTTTTTCAAGATATCCTAGAAAGATTTGTTCATTTCCTCAAATACTGTGGTAAAAATCAAAATTTCTAAAACCAGGAATCATCTTTTGGAAGCACTTCTAAAAATTCAGGAATCCAAGGCATCTGCTTCAAAACACATTTGCTGTTGAAACTGTAGTTTTTAAGTAAATGGTGGTTAGAGAAAGCCTAGGACTATTTGAAGAGAACCCCCTGAGGGTAACAATAATATTGATCCTTCCTTCTCATAGTTGATATCTTCACTTTGTTCTACTTCATCTCATAATTCAGGAAAATTACTAGGTTGAGAATGGAGCTAGTTCTTGAACTTGAAACCCAAATTTCACATGCAACTAAATTAAAGTTAATTAAAGCAATTAATTTAAAGAGGAAGTAATTTCTACTGACACTTTTCTTTTTTGGTTATTCATACAAAAGTCTCTGCAAAGTCATTTAGCACTGTGGATCGCGCTCTATTTCCACACTGAAGGCCTACTATCAATTTATGTAAGATTATTTAAACTAGTGTATCTGCATTACTATTCATATAAGTGCTTTTATACTTAAATGAACCATTGATTCATTTTGTGAACTGGGAATAGTATCAACAAAAAATGAAAATGCATAAATTCAAATCATAATATACAAATGATTTTTAAATATAGTAATCAAAATGAATTTTACTTTCAATTGAATATTAGCTAAAACAAACTGACGCACATGTAATTACAAAAAGAGGTACTAAATTTCTATGTAAATACTAAACACACTTTTCACTTTCAATTTATACCATGTTCGTTTTCATATAAATGTATCTCTACATAATTTTACATCAATACCCTCAATAGAACCTTTTGTGCTATATTGTGGTGAACGTGGCACTGACTGCTCTCCTTTTTGGACCAGCTTCTCTCTGTCCGTCCTCATTTCTTCCCTGCCTCATGTTATTCAGTGCTCTCACATTAACAATCTACCATATGTCAGTCGATATTTCTATAATTATCATATTTATATACATATTGTTTTTGCTATTCATTTTCAAATTTTAATCCATCTGCAATTCTGTCTAGTTTCTCTCTTCTGTTCAACTTGTTATATTTGTTTGTTCTAACACAAATACTTTATTTATTGCATTGCAGTGCCATTTTAGTATGCTTTGCTATCTGATTTGACAAATTTGTGTTCTTTTTCTTTTTTGAATGTGGGTGTCATCCTTGCTCATGCTAATCTTCTTTGTATGGTTCCAATTTTAGTATATGTGCTGCTGAAGCAAGCATGTTGTTTGCTTTTTCTTAGAAAATGAATTAAACATTCTATTTCCAAAAAGAATTTAATCCTACAGAAAAGTTGTGAAAACATTATAATAAACTCGCCTGTCCCCTTCTTGTACAGTCGCCTAATGACAATACTTTTGCCATGTTTTCATCTTCTTCCTCATATTCTAATGATGTTAATTCTTTTCAAAATATGCTTATCTATGCTAATTTCATTTCCATGTAAATCTTAATATATTTTATCTAATTTCCTCCACTGAAAGCCTATTGTGGTTCAAATTAGAATTGCATACAATATACATAGTGTCTTTTAGAAAAGTAACCTCTTGATATCAACTCTTTAATCTCAGAATGTGCATATTTTTCCTTTGTTCAAATTTTATTTTATATACTTCAGTAAAATTTTATAGCACTGTACATATAGATTCAGTGCCTGTTCAAGTAAGTTTATCCTTAAACATGGGTCACATTTTCATTAATATAAGTGAGATATTTTTCCCCCTTTCACTTCGAGGTATTTATAAGTAGTAAAGAGGATGGGAACTTTTTTGCAAATGTATATTCTAATGGCCACCTCAGCAAAATATCATACATTTTAATGTCTGGGGATTTCTAATATGTAATCATATTATCTCCCAAAGTGATAGGTAAGTTCTTTCTTTTAGTTCTTTGGTTTCCAACAAAGGAAAACTAGCAGGACAGCAGCCTGCCTCTGCCATAGCTCAT